TCACTGAATTTCTGGCTCGGACCGCAGGGCTCCGCGCACACCTTTGCAGTTGGCACCTATATGCTTCCTGTCATTTCATCTTGTCCTACCAGTTTAAGCAAACTGCAAACTGCAGCTCGCACGTCATTTCTCACAATGTGGGTCTAAGCATTCTTGTTGTCTTTCTAAACGCATGCTTGTCTTAGTTTGTCCATCCTACCATGTCGATTTAATGATCACCACTTATTTCTGTGTCGCCGAAGCGCCGACATTCACTTTCCGCTGTCTATTAATCGAGACACGTGTGACAGCTTCCTGGTAACCGATACCATCTTTCTACATTTGATTTGCATTGGGTGCCTAATCCTCCTATGAGTGAAAGTTATTCTTCATTCTAAGATTCTTCTCGCAAGGGAACTGATCCATAGTTGACACTTTGTTTTGTTTACGTTGAGCTACTGGTTGGCATCTTCCTAGTATGTCCGAGCTACTCATACTACAATGGTCATTGATTGATGAGTTCTTGCTAGTATTGTTTGCGAATGGAACCGACGATGAACTAGTGGGCAGAAGGTGGATAATATACCACCAACACTTGGGTTAGAAGATGAATACAAGATTGCAGGGGTTTGACATGAGAAACGCTCGACGTGGCCCCAGACAAGACGGGTGTGTGTTGAACAGAGCCCAGCGAGTCATCTGATCCTACTGTTTAGGCGATTGGACGAAGACCCGGGCCGAGTCCTCATACTCACCTTAATCTACCCCACTCCCTTGTGGACAAATTTCTTAGACAAACCAATTTCTTTGGAACAAGCACAAAAATCACCTCACGAGATGAGTATGGTGGATTTTCACCCTCCTACGGAATTCCATCACTCCTTTTCCTACATCTCTCATCCTCTAATTGACTCTTCTCTACTGTTTAGTAAGAGGACTCTCCCGGTTTCGAAATTATTTTAACAGTGCACCACAGTCGTCTTGATAACTGGTAGTCTCGTTTCACTTCGTGTCATTTGGCGTCCCCTATCTGTGTCAGCTCGTTGGGCAGACAACTCACACTTATCGTAGTCTAACCTGTTTGACGCATGTTGTGTCGCGAAACACGGATGCGAGACAGCTGCGTCTTAGCACAGTTTCATGAGACCGGTTAAGATTCCGGTGAGGACAGCCACACTCTTCGCGTCCCTGGTTTTTCAAACTGGTAATCGCTTTGCTTGGGTGTGAGTTGCACATGACAAACTGACCATGGGCTGCCGGGATCGGTGAACACTATACGCCTTCATTGTTCTGACACATTGGCTGTCCCACATGGGGTCTGTTGTTTCCAGCTGTTGGTTTTCCCACTTAAAGCTTACAACTTTATGTAATCCATTTTCCATTAAACCTATCGCCATGCTTGTAGTTTCTTCCTAATTCATCGCTATCATTTTTTTGTCACAGTTATGTGGCTGATGGCAGTTGGTTCTACTCACTTTGCTGCTCAAATCTAGTTAATTTGCCGAGCTGCGCTTGCAGTTTACTTCAGCTGTTGTACCGAACTTTGGCACTTTGTAATTGTTTGTTTTACCCCACACTATACTGGTGTCTCAGAGCTGCGCTTTAAAGCTTACTTGTGCTATTTCGACTACCAGCTGGGGAGGAGGGAGTAGAAGACTCAGCCGCATACTTGAAATCCATCTGAGAGGTTTGGGACCTTTATGGTATAGAAAATAAGGTCTGCCACTTTTTGCCCAATAAACCATCCTGATCACCAGTACTGTCGGTTGTTTCTGACAGTAAAAAGCTTGTCGCCTTGTTTGGTAGCTTTCTATCTCCCGATCTCGGCACAAATTTACCTCATCAGACATGTCATAGTCGAGTAGCACGCGCTACTTCGAGGAACCTGGCACTTAAACAGGGCTTACATGGCTCTTACTTGACCACTGGAATGTCTAATGTAAAATGCAAATCGAACGGACGATAGAGTTGTGGTTTCCTTTTTCACAACAACGCATGCGTCACTTTTGGGAAGCCGTGGGATGATTTGCGGACATTTTGAGATGATTCGTCCCGTCTACAAACAGCCACCGTATCTCCGGAAAAGCGTTGAGCATTCAATTCATCGTTTTATTATAAATTGTCAACAGCGCATCTCCATCGGATCCCACAGGATTGGAATTCGCTACTAAATTCCAACGAAGCAGTGTCTTAAGCCTCCGAGCTATGGTTGACGGATGCATGATTGCCCCCACCGGCGCTGCAGTTGTTTGTGATCTACCATGTGTGTGTGTTGCCTGAATCTAACCGTGATGGATCCTACCAAGCAATGTGTCGGTCCGCAGCCCTAAAAATAACAAGCTTCTCTTGTAATCTGACGATGTAGGTTCGAGCCTGATTAGGTGCAGGGCGACGCACGCAGTATCCTTAGCCCGCGTGTGACCGGTAGTGGTTGCGCGGTAGCTAAGCCTCGGTACGCTGCATCGACGTACTGTTAGTGTCTTTCTTCCTTTTTTGTGCCACGTCGAAATTACTTCACTTTCTCAAACTCACTAACCCTACGCTACCACACTCGTATGCGCTGAATGACGTATTAAACTAGTAAGCTACATTATCATACGTACTACTTTTCCGCATTTTACCGATTTATCTTTCATTTTTCACATGTAGCAGTCAATGTTTCATGTGCTGTGCTTATTTGCATTCTTCCGAATCTGATAAACTTCTGAGAATTTCGCTATTTCCTTCAGTGAGCAACTTGATCTTGTAAATCGTTAACAGGCCTTCATGGAGCTCTTAACGTCAGTTTTCGTTGTCACAGCGTCAATTTAACAGATAGGTTGGAACAGATAACAAGTTTGTTGCCACGGTATTTCCCACATCTGAAATACTCGAGTGTGTGCAGTCCTACCGGTCGCACTCATGCGCATCTCATTGTCCACGCCCATACAGCTGTTCTATACATCTGATGTTACTGCCAGTAAAAAATGTCGACCCCAACAAGCATGTTGCAGAAACCTGTTCACCACAATCTCTGTTGAACTGCACTCCACCCACTCAGGTTCCAACTCTTATATTTCCGCACAGCGTTCGTATATTCCTTCCAGGAGGCAATGTTTGTCCCGGATCCCGTTTTGTCCATGACAATCAGAACAACTGACAAAAAACTGACCGATTCATTTAGCAATGGCATCAGACGGTTTACCAGAGAAGACCCCACCATCCGTATAACGCAGAACCTTGAAAGCGCGAAAATGATTGAATCTGGAATGGGTGAACTTCGTTTGCAGATCTACGCTGAGCCCTTGGCAGGAGAATACAACTCTCTCTGTGAATTGGGGATACACCACATCGCATTTCGCGAAACATTGCACAACCGTTCAAGAATTTATTCTGCATGTTTTGCTTAATCATTGCGTACTTACCAATTTAATCTTCCTTCTTGGCTGTTTCCTCCATACGTTCATGAATGAATTACCCTTCTAACCGCAACAGGGTCACCTTAAGTCTCGAATTTCCGAAGTTTCATAGTCCAAGCAGGGCTTCCAGGAAAATTAGTTTTTTTTAAAATGTTATCCCAGTCGAACATTTCTGTTTACCTTTTTATTCACATTGGCCGATTGATCCCAAATTAGTTGTCGTCTGAAGTCTATCTCACAATGACATATGACATTCCAGAATAATTAAGTCTTGGTTTTATGCGATATCATAATTGGATACTGTTCGGGTCTGGTATTGAAGCAAGCTGCAGCATCGAATTGAACACTCAAATCTCTTTAACCATGTGGTTCATTCATTGCACTTTAGAATCCCATCTAGCTTGTGCGATACTTTCTTTCCGCTCAAAATAATCGCTGTTATCTTTCACCGTGTTTCCATCGAATGCTCGTTGTTCGCTTCAATACATCGAATTTTGTGCTTTAAAACAAACCGGCACCTAGAGCAGTTCGAATGAGCTTACTGCAGTGCAGTTTCAAGGTCATCCTCACACACGCGTGACGTGCGTGCTCCTGGTTCATTTGGATTATTCCCCTCTACCCTCTCTCCATCTTCTTGCAGCGCTGTCACTGTACACTCATTCGAACCGGATTTACCAGCTCTACACAATGATCCATCATACGTGGAAATATCTTCTATGATTAGAAGCTTTGCCGTCACTAACCGTTTTCACTGGCATCTGTGATTAAGCGCCAGCGTTTAATTCAGTCATATTGAGCCGATTGCCTTTCTGTGTGACACCATTCTATACAGGATTCTCGAGGCAGGCCGAAAAGCCTAATCTTATTCTTATCCAGTGTTTCTCAACACAGCTGTGAAAGAATCTGATCTGTCAATCTGTGTTCAGTGCTCTGTTCAGGTTCCAGTCACTCGCCATTCCTTCTGACCTTGTCAGCCAGTGCGGCTGCATAATCCATCACATGGACCGCGCGACCAGTGATCTACCATGTGCGTGTGTTGCCTGAATCTGGTCGGGACGGATCTCACAAAACCATGAGCCTCGTCGAAATTGCTTCACTTGTGCAAACATATTAACCCTACGCTGCTACACTCGTATGCTCTAAGTGACGTAATTAAATAGTAATCTACATTACCATAGACATTCTTTTTGCATTTTACCGATTTTCTTGCATTTGTCACATGTGGCAGTCAAGGTTTCATGTGCTGTGCTTACTTGCATTCTTCTGAATCTGATAGACTTCTGTGATTTTCTTTATTTTCTCCAGCGAGCAAGTTTATCTGGTAAATCGTTGACGGGCCTTCGTAGAGCTCTCAACATCCGTTTTCGCTGTCAGCGTCGATTTAACAGATAGGTTGGAAACAGTCAGCAATTTTCTTGCCGCAGTGTGCGCAGTCCTACCGGTCGCACTCATGCGCATTACATTGTCCACTCCCATACATGCATCTGGGGTTACTGCCGGTAAACAATGGCCCCGACAAGCACGTTGCATAAACCTGTTCACCACAGTCTCTTTTGAATTGCACTCCACCCACTTAAGTTCCAACCCTTATTTTTCCGCCCAACGGTTGTATGTTCCTTGCAGGAGTCAATGTTCGTCCCGGATCCCGTTGTCTCCATGGCAATCAGACCAATTGACAAAAAGGTGACCGATTCATTTAGCAAGGGCATCAGACGGTTTACCAGAGAAGACCCCACCTTCCGTATAGTACAGGACCTTGAAAGCGGGGAAATGATTGCATCTGGAATGGGTGAACTTCATTTGGAGATCTACGCTCAGCGGTTGGCTAGAGAATACAACTCTCCTTGTGAATTGGGGAAACCCCGCGTCGCATTTCGCGAAACCCTCGCACAACCGTTCGAGTAAGTTTTTATTCTGCATGTTTTTGTTTAATCATTGCGTACTTACTGATGTAAGCTTCCTTCTTGGCTGCTTTTTCCATACGTTCATGTATGAATTACCCTTTCAACCGCAACAGGCTCACCTTAAGCCTCGAATTTCCGCAGTTTTATAGTTCAAGCGAGGCTTCCGGCAAACGTGCTTTTCTTTTAAATTTATCGCGGTCGAACATTCGTGTTTGCCTTTCTTTCATATTGGCCGATTGATCGCAACATAGTTGTCGTCTGGATTTCAGTTCGCAGTGACATTGGACATTCCAGAAAAATTAGGGCTTGGTTTTATACAATATCAAAATTGGATACCATGCGGGTCTGTTATTGGAGCAGGCCGCAGCAGTGAACTGAACACAAATCTCTTTAACCCCGTTTTCCATTTATTGCACTTTAGAACCCCATCTATCTTGTGCGATACCTTCTTTCCGCCCAAAATAATCGCTGTTATCTTTCACCGTGTTTTCATCGAATGCTCGTTGTTCGCTTCAAGACATAGAATGTTTTGCTTTAAAACAAACCGGCACCTCGAGCAGTTCGAATGAGCTTACTGCAATGCAGTTTCAACAGATAATCCCCAGCAGCCACATTGCTGAAACCCTTTCTCGCATTTACAGTCTATCCTGGCAACTGGTGTACTTAGAACCCTCGCCTTGTGAGCGATACTGCAGCAATAAGTGCGTTGTTGCTGCGAATCAATGCATAGAAGGCTTATCCTTACTCTCATCTACCCAAATTTTCTCATTTTTATTTTAATCAGTGACTAGTGTATCATACTACTTATTGGCTGATATCCTGCTTCTGATCTGATTAAAAACTACTTGACCCTAAACTTAAACATCGTTGGACATGTCATTCCTTCCATAGTACATCGATTACCACGGATGTTGCACAAATCGATTTCAAATCAACATCCCGCTTGACTTGAAGTCGTATCTTGTTCTACTCAATAATAATCTTTGTCGATCACTTGTATGGAGTGTACCAAACGCTCCTAAGCGCCCGTGTGACGCTTTTTATCGCGTCGAACCGATGACCCACCGAGGCCTCTTTCATATCCCACACCCACCTTACAGTGACATCGAGCGATGTTGGGACCGCTTTGTCATGCTCTCCCTATGGACAACAGCCGCTTAATTGGGACTGGAGAGAGGATGCACTGCGACCAGTTTTGCCTGTCAGATGAATTTTATGGATTGAATCATGACAAACTGGTATGCAGTACTCGTCCTGAGGTTTCCCTCAGCGCGCCCTGCTTCGACGGATGCGGATACGCCGAGGTGACCTGAAACTGTCCTACTGGATGTCTTACGACAACCCATCTGATGTTGGTATACTGGTTTCCCAACCATGCATTTATTTAAAATGGATAGACGATCGCACTAAAATTGCTACCATTGTTTCAAATAATAAATAAGGCGAGATTTCACTATCACGACCACCGAAGCTTGTGTCTTCCGCAGGAAGCACGGGTTGGGAATGTGCTCACACCGTTATTCACGTTGTTGACAGTGTTAACACGGGATATCTGTGATTTGTACTGCCTTTACGGAATTCGAGTTCAGCGCCGATTTTTACAGACAATTCAGCTTCTGCGAGCCCACACAGTGTTGCATCGTTACCCGATACGCAGCCCGCGCTTAGCGCTGCACGCTTCAGCATGTGCGGACACGCCACTGGTTCTAACTGTCACCCAACAGCCACTGGAAGTGGTCTATCGCTTCACTTATTTTGGTAGTTGTCACCTCTGGTAGTCACACCAGCGAGGAGGTTATGTCATCATGTATAAGCACAGCTCGTGTGAACTTTCAGCTGCTTCGCGATCTGTGAATGCTGCTGGATATCATCCAGTCAGTCATGGGTGCAGTATATAACGCTACGACAGGAAGGGTTACTGTATGGATTAGAGATCTGGCCATTTTGCACTGAACGCATTAAACGACTGACCGTCTTTGAGCACCGATGCTTTCAGTATTGCTCATACCTGGAGGAACACCGGATGAGCAATGCTGAGGTCCTCCAGTTAGTTTTTGGCAGAAAACCTGCTTCATCACTCGAGTGTTTGCTATATGCTGACGGCTTATAGTGGCTCGGCATGTTCTCCATCTGCCCTTCGATCACCTTCCTCAGCCCACATTATACGCCGTGGCTTCACCAAATTGGGCGAAACCGCTAGGTGGCGAGTCGATGACCTGGCACAATGGCATGAAGAAATTGTCTGAGGGACTTGATCTGGCTGATACTTGTGGTCTTCGTGGATGAGAGCTTTGAGATGGCCCAGACCTGTGGTTGTAGACTCTGTCGGACATGGCGTGGCTGCGCAGTCAGTGGTGTTGCTGCATTCGATTCCTCGCATCTGGTTTGTATGTCGGCCTGTCAACTGCACTGCCGGGGTTCGAATCTTGGGCGCGTCACGCTTTTGTGACCCGTAGCCAAGGGGGAGAGATTTCGGCTACTATTCCAATGGTCTCGGGTTCGAGGCCTGTTATCCCTACCTTACGAGATCAAATATCGGAACGCGTTGTCCCCCGTCGCTCAATAGTTTCTACCACAGGCTGGCAGCAGTCGAGTTGTGGGTTCGAGCCATACCAGCGCCAGCTAGAATGCGCACTGCTGACGCTTCCCGAAAGAATGAAACGGCCCTACAATGCTTTTCCGGGCGTGTGCTGGCTGCCTGTATGAGTCTAGATGTGATGAATTTTGTCCCCCATGGCTCAGTGACATAAGCTGCTGGCTAGTGGTGCAAGTCACTAACGCTCATGGGTTCGATCCGCAGCAGAGGACCGAAGGAATGCGCACCACTGACGATTCCCAGTAGGACGAGACGACTGATTGAACCATAAGGTCCTCTTCAACAATCTGAGGAGCTGCGGTCTTTTTGGCTCACTGCACAAGTGGATCAGTGACTTCCTTATTAAACGGAAATTGAGGATACAGGTGGATGACCATCTAACAGACTGTTGTCCCTCCACTAGTGAAGTACCCCAAAGCACAGAGAGTACTGAGACCCATTTTATTCCTGATCCACATCAACGAAATGCCTCAGCTTTTGCGGTCACTTTCTACCATGTTTGCAGACGACCTGAAGAATTGCAGAATAATTGATGCTCCCGACGGCTGTGACGTACCTCAGCATGACCTCGACCGCCTTCCAGATGGCCTGCTAATATCGATCTGCCGGTCAACCCAGTCAAATTGTTATATATGGGCCTAGGGTAGGGTGTTGTTGGGCGTACATACACTGACCGGCCAACCGCTTCATCCCACAGCTTACGTGAAGGATCTCGGCGTACTCTCATGATGCGATTTGAAGTTCGTAGACGACACGAACAAGCTATATGGAAACGGATTGCGCATGCTTTAAGCGCTCAAACGCAGCTTCTACATTTGGTCTGAAGAGATTTCCACGTGTCTCTTCTCTTCCATCGTGAGACCGATGCTTGAGTACGGATCACCCACCTATTCTCCACACACACGTAGCGTGGAGCAGAAACTGCAATGTGTACCGCATGTAACTGCCAGGCTCATCCCGTTTATGAGGTATGTCGTACGAATTCCGATGCGGACGACTAAGGCTGTACACCCTTTCGTACCGTCGGTTTAGTGTTGACCTCATTATAACGCATCGATATTGCATCTCGGTCACTTCCCCATGTTGAGGCCGCTGCTTCGCGTACGCGGATTAAGCAGCACTCGCGGGCACTGGTACTAGATAGTGGTGCCGTATCTGAAGCGGGTAGCTCACCCTTTATCCTTCGAGTGGTGGAATATTGGAACAGTTTGTCCGCGAAATTTGTCGAGGCAAGATCGGTGTCGGAATTCAAACTCTTCCTATACGCCCACTTTGCCGATTCGAGAATCAGGGCGTGCATCGCAACGGAATAGCACATGGCGCAGCTGTAATATGCAGCAAACGGGCAGCAATCAGAGACGTGACTCCGCGCACATGCCCGAAATAACTACGATGGAGCAACACAAGCGTATGTCTACTAGCTCCCTATTTTCGTTTTTCTAGCTCTTATTGTCCTTCCATCCTGACTGGGTTAACGCATCACTTTGATTCCATTCGTCTTCAACTGCATCCACCGTACTTCGGTGATCAGGTCATAGTTATTCCACTGAGCTAAAATAATTGATCCAGTGGCTAATGTCGCAATCGAGCTCAACTTCAGTGCTTTGCGACGAGACCTACCTGTCCAATCCATTAACCGATACTGATTGAAATTGCCAGTCCACTAGGCTACTTGAATGGGGGTTGTACGGATCGTTGTCAAAACGAGCCGTTACCAATTTGTTGTGATCTCCCAGCCAAGTATTTGTATCGGAGACATGTTGAGGACATTAATCCTGATTGTATCATAACCTGCATACACCTGTAATATTATCCATCTATTTCAACCACATCCTGCATCGAATTTCACGCAGTCTTAGAGCAGTCGTGTTATCTAATGTACACATCGAAGTGAATATGAAGAACACATTACTGCTGATACCTTCTCTACCTGCCACTCTTGCGCTACTCCCAATCGCCATCATCAACGTTATTTGTATTCTAGTAAGTGACAACGGCCACATTACCACAAGGGCTTCTCTGCCTTCTTCCATGTCCTCATTGTGCTCTATAGGTTGCTGCCACTGTGACTCTCTTCAAGTTATGGTTCCCGAATTCATATCCTATGTGAGATGTCTTGAGTGTACACTGGACAGTTTAGATGTTAGTCTGTGTTAACACAAGGAATCTAGGATCCACGATTCTCACGCGGCCATTCTACTAACTGAATGTAGCTAGCTTCTCTCTTTATTACTCGCATGCGTCCTCAGGTACTGATCCTACAATCATGGTCCAATCTGAACCGTGTATCGTTCCTATCTGCGGTCACCAGGAGTCCGTGCTCAGACTGTGTGACTTCATCGGCTAAACCTAACGCACAAAGCAGCGCTGCTTGCGCTTCCACCCACTGCGGCCATACTTGACCAGAGAGGTTATGGGTTTGGTTCTCGGTGGAGCCGGGGGATGCGCACCACTGTTGATTCCCAATAAGTTGAAGCGGCTTCCTGGCTCTTTTCCGCATGCCTAGTAAGTTATCGGATAGCCCCTGTAGCGCGCAAGTAGTGTGTGGCGGCCAAGCAGTATGCGTCTTTGATTATCTGACAGCCGCGTCCCTCAGAGTCTCTTTCATTGCTTCACACATCGCTAATTCTCTGTTTACTTTCCACGTCTAACATTTTTTACACCGGTCTCAATTCCACCACACTCTTTTCTTTCGGAACCTGTTCATCATTGTTATCAGTTCTATCGCTAATCATGATGGTCATATTCTCTTTTGAGCTCCTGTTTACTGGTGTTTGCCGTCCACCCATGTCCACTTTGATCCTTGCATTGATCCCCAGTGCATTACACACGTCGTATTTTCGCCCAGGATGGTCAGGATCATGAGTTACAGTTTTATGCTCCAAGAGTTACATACATTCTCCATTTATTCCAGATTTGATTATCTCCATAAAAGGCAATCTGGTGGCGCGGGTCAATACGGTCGCGTGATTGGCATCTTAGAGCCACTTGCTCCACACTTGAACACACAAGTTTTGTTTTCCGACGAAACGACAGGCACACACGTCCCAAAGATTTTTGTCCCTTCCATTGAGAAAGGATTCAGAAACGCCTGTGCCCAAGGTCCTCTGGTCGGCCAGATTGTCACTGGTGTTCGGTTTCGGCTACAGGATGGTGACCATCATGTGGTTGACAGTAGCGATTACGCGTTTCAGCTTGCCGCTGAGGGCGCCATGAAACAAGGTTTGTTTTTATTTTATTGTCGTTTTCCCCCACATCATCAGTTCCATCCTGATTATGGCTTTTGAATTTGATCCTGTCATTTGCGATTTATACATCATAACCGCTTTTTTTCCGTCTGCGCCCTACTCGGCCCTGAGTTTTATACACCATATCTCCCATATAGTTTGACCGAAGAGTTTTCCCATCACATGCGAAATCCGCGTCAACTTCACCGGACATTCTCCCCATCACTGTCACATACGACATTTATCGCATATTGCTTTTACTAACTGCGAAGTCCGTTGCTGTTTGATCATCTACTCAGCGTAAATTAGGCATCTGCACTGCTCCGGTACGCAGCACCGACGCTTGGCTACCTCACAACCGCCACCAGTCTAGCGTGGGCTAAGGATATATATTAGGGTCCACCGGTCCCCTACGCAGGCTCGAAGTCGCGACTTCAGATTACAAGGCAGGCTTGTGATCCTTAAGCCCACGTCCGGTGCTCGACTTATAGCATTCCCACGTGATTTATTTTGTCCTGCAGCTTTTTGATTGTTGAATTGATTATTTCCCTCCATGCCTGTCTAGGTCTTTCACATTCCTCCATGGCCGTCAGTGCCGTCCGGTTTTCTTTGACAGTTCGCGGTGGTTTACCTGATCACCTGACCTTCCCCTTTATTGCAATGCCTTTGTTTTATCCATTTTTTACATTTTATATGCTTCTCTCAGCCATGGACGAGGGAACTTGGATCATTTTGGAACCGATTATGCTGGTGGAATCTTCAGCCCCTGCCGAATTTCAGGGACAGATCATTGCCATTCTGTCGAAACGCAAGGGTATCATTGTCAGTTCCGATAGTCATTCCGGTTATTGCACCATTGAGGCTCAGGTAAGTAATTAAAGTAGATGCAGGCTATTCACGACAGTTCCATTATTAATTCCCCATTATTTCGAAATCCGTCGAATTCGTTTGTATTTCTAACTTCAGTTTGCCGTCCAACATCACTACTCTGGCGCGTTTCTGCGTGCCGACGTCCTACGTTCAACTGTGCTTTGAATCAACCCAAGAAACTCTATCAATAACTCCTAACCCATAGAAAACAGTTTGCTTCTTAAGTTTCGTTATTTTTTCACTCGAAAGTGCATTCCATCCGTGTACACGCTGCGACATCTCTGATGACACCGAAACGTCGTGGCTCCCAGCTGCGAAATCATTAATCTGACTGGAAACTCACCAGTCATTAAAATGGTCATCTTTCATGTCTTTCGGGAGGTCCTTCGCACTTGTTGCAAATACGCATTGTATGCTGTCTTCGATGTGATTGACTCGTTTCATACGATGCGTGGCATCTTAGTGTAGGCGGACTTGTTTTCTGCGTTAGATTCGAGTATTGCTTGCATTCACGCTCCGTTCCCAATGGATTTGGGCGCGATTGATGGGAATTACATTCCCATCCTTGTGCCTAGTATTTTGGCACTGGATCCACTCTCTTCAACCTTGTTTGCTTCCAATCTCCTCTCTAATTCGATGTCTTCATGTCGACTGTGAAGAAAACCAACAAATCCAATGAATTCAACAGTTGTGTCACATTTCATTTCACTCCGTTCTTCATTAGTTAGTGGGTGCGCAAATCCGATGGGCAACGGAGACGGTGTTCGCGCACTGCGACCATTCTGCCCTTTTGTTGCTTACTTTACGCACCAGTCCAAGTCTCATGCTTGCCCCCTTTTTCCTCTTATCAGGTCCCGTTGAATGATATGTTCGGTTATGCCGGTGAACTGCGTTCTCTGACCGAAGGGAAAGGAGAATTCAGTATGGAGTATAGCAAGTACTGTCCTGCACGCCCAGAGACTTCAGACATGCTAATAAAAGAGTATACAGAATTGAAAGAGGCCAAATTCTCGCGACACGGTGCTCAAGCAAAAAAGAAGAGCCGTTAGCAAACTGTGATGTACAGTTCGTGATCTGATGATCACATTGCTTTGTTGATAACTATCCATTGTATTTTTACTTTATGTGACAACTGAAGCCATGCCCTTCTCCTTGGTGAGATGTGTTGGAGACCAGCAGCACATCAGAGGTGGGCGTAAATCAGAGTCGCGGTCGCAGTTTGTCGATTTGATACCTCAGATTCGCCTGTCATCGATCCATTTGGTACTTTGGACCTTCGCTGTATCTTTCTCATTCCACCTTGTCTATGCCAAACAGTAAAAGACCTGGGTCTGTATCAGCAACTATAGGTTGTTAAACCCCTTACAGTCACATTTTTCCAAACCCCACTGGTGTTTTATCCCAAGTGTAAACGAAAAACCACTCAGATGCCTTTAGGTAACGCGTTCCCACCGGAATAAATAACATCAAAGCCGGGGCTGCATAGCAGCACTATTTGCAAACAATTAGAAACACCTCAACAATACGTGCTTCCAGCACAAGCGTATCAATAACTTCAATTCCATCAAAATAGTCCACAATATGGATTCAAGTCACAATTAAAACAAAGTAGCAGCATCTCAACACGCCATCTTTTACATGAACGGATTGAAACCGATCAAAGGAGGCTACGTTCCGGCGTTGGTGTTGAGTCTGTGCGTTACACATGCATTGATGGTCTGATGTACATTACAGAAAAGGCGAACAAAACTAAGCTTCACGAACGAATAGGTTTCCATATATTTGACCTCTAACCACCTCGAAATAGCAATAGTGTGAGGTTACTGCTGCAATGCGAGGTAACCTGAGCTGTCACATTAACACCAATCTACATCTCAATATCCAGATGGCGACAGGGAGTGAGATTGAAACTTTGAAGAGTATGGGTAATATCGGGTGTTACTATGTGAAGCAATAATGGCGTTGCTCAAAAATTTAAACTACATAACACGTGGGCGGTTGAATGCGATATAGCTAATTCTCAAGGTACAATTGAACACGGCTTTGAGTCGACATCGGATCACATGATCTGGACTGAGAGCCAGAACAAGCAAAGTTTGATTTAGACAAGGAACAGGGTGGGTAAAGGGTAGTATGAATCACAGCCAGGGGATCATTGAGCGGGACAAACGTATCACAGGATAGAGCATTCTGGATTCTTCTATACTCCTGACCAGATCTCGTACGGAAATTTCGCCTTCTAGCTTTCGATATGCTCTGCTTCACGTCAACCTGCTTCATCCGCTATGGAGAATTGCCTGAACATCTCCACTTCGGTCTGTTATACTCACAGTGGTCCTCCTCGAGGCGGCAGGTCCGAAGACCCTTCTCCCGCATGCGGAGAGAACCGGGACAGACCCCTCTTCCGACTTGCTTGTTTCTCTAAGGCACATCACCCCATCCTCACGTTTGAACACGCCGCATTGAACCAACTTCAACAGCACAACTCGTGATTTCACTTGGGGTGAATACTTAGCCATCTCCTTTTACTTTACAAAACTTGGAATGACCACAGCATACTAACAGCAAGTGGGCGTCCGATAGCAAATGTCAACTACATAAGTAGACTTACATCTACATATGCTGTCGTCTCTTCTTTATACCATTTCACGCATATACTCTTTACGATTTCACCGTTGATCTTTGCGTTACGTACACATGAACTATATATATATATATATATATATATATATATATATATATATATATATATATATATATATATATATATATATATATATATATATATATATATATATATATATATATATTGTCACACCTCTATCTTGCTCTTCAGTCATCTTCTATTTGATCATTCAGGATTCTTAAGCTATTATTAGCTGAGGTCCCGATCTCACGTCAGCCCAATTATTGTTTCACCTTTCCACCATTGTACAGTTCCAGTCATGAACGTATGAACAATTTTCTACTGTCGCTGTTACAATTGCCCTAAATGTCTGTACAGTTGCACCTACCTGATCATGCCTCCATGGGCGTGCCTCTTATAGTCGAGAATAAATATTTATTTATTTAATCTTCTCCGTCCAGATCATTCAAGTTTGTTGCGCTCATTATTGGGATTCGTATCGCTCTCGTGCGTCGTGCATCCATGGGCCAAATGAACCATACCGACATGTAGATCTACGATATGACTGGTGCATGTTAACAACTATAAGGAACCAACTCTTTTTCTTCATCGGTGGTCAGGATACACTTTTCATGATTAATGTGGCCAGATAGGTAATGAAAATGATACTAGTATACTTCATGACGGGACGTGGTATCGTCATCAACAACTGCACTGTACATTAAAACTATTTCCTGACGGTACATTGCCATACATCCATAGTAACCCTTGAAAACTGAATGCCATGTAATCGTAGCTGGTATAAATTTAAATCTAAACTCCCCTTTGATGAAAAAACATTAGTACCATAATGACTATCTGTAACTTGTCAATCTCATAATTATTTTTTACATTCTCTTGTGGTCACAACAATGTGTAACCTACAATAACGGGCTCACAAATGTGAGATACCTGTGTCAGTGGGTCATTGTGCTAGGTATCTGACATTGACAAAATGTAAACTCAGTAGCGTTTTAAACTGCTCCTGCGCCGTGTTTACTTCCACTTTAGCAGAGTGCTCTAAATGTTTACCACCCTCCGTTGAAAGCTCAGGGAGTTAAGAGCACATTTCAGCTTCAGGGTGCTTGTGTTGTGAGTCTCTTTATCCTCTCCCCTTTAGCTTCCCTTCTAATAACGCTCTAATACCTAATATGATATGTAGCGTTCTGTTACGTATTTTTCTTTCGCTTTTGTTATAATCTGCAATATTTGATCTCTTATCCTTTTGTATTGCACCCGACCATAGGACAGTCCTAGTATCTCGCACCTGCCTTCGTACGATAAGCACATAAACTTGAAATGAGCTTATTAGCGACTTGTTGGACCCATTCGATCTTCTGCGCCTCACGTCGGGCGGGTGAGTCGTGCTCTGGCATTTGGCCTATGATGAATGAACAATGAATTTATACGGGTTAAGAACGTTGCTTTACAAGTCCCATTGGATAGTTGATGGGGATATTAACATAGCAATAATGATAATAAGGATAGTAACAATTAATACTTTAAATATGAAAATAAAGACTTATCGTTTGCTTCGCTGTAGTCCTGCGATCCTCTCAGATTCACAGCACTCACAGTTAACAACAAATAATTCCATGGTAAACTCCAGATGTAGGATGGAGACGTAGTGTTAAGTAACAAAGTGGAAGTGGATGAGTGCATCGTCCAACCGTCTTTTAAATACTGTCAATGTCGGTGCAGAGACGACCGATTCTGGGAGAGCATTCCACGGGTGACAGACACGAATGGAAAAGAAATTTCTGTGGCACTCCAGACGACTGTATTGTTCTGCGAGTTTTAATGTGTGGCCCCTCAGGTTTGTATTGCTACTGAGTCGTAGTAAAGAGCGGCACACATGATGTGGGTCTCGCAGAATCAAGTATGCCATAATCAGGTCGTCTCGTAGTCTGCGATAGCTTCCACTGAACAATCCCAGTCGTCGCAGCCTCTCCTGGTAGGACAGATTGCGCATTCCAATTACGTTCTTAGATGCCCGGCGTTGTGGCTGCTCCAGTGCATTAAGGTCGTGTTTCAGCCATGGATGCCAGGCTTGAATTGCATATTCGACATGAGGGCGAACATACGCACTTACTATTTGTCGAAATATGGAGCTGTTTATTTGTCCAAACGCCCCCCTCAACAGCCCCACGTGTTAGTTCCCGGTCTTCGACGCCTTTTCGGATTGCCTGGAGCAACCCAAGTCGCCTTGAACCAGGACACCCAAGTCACGTACGGGAGTTGATTGTTGCAGTACATCCGTTCTGAGTCGGTATGAGTAGCTGTTTTGATGTCGGATAGAAAGCACCTTGCATTTACTGACGTTGAAATGCAATAAGTTTTGGGTCGACCATTGATACACTGTATCTAAGTCAATCTGAAGCAGATGATGGTCGGCGTTCGCCTGGGTCCTGCGCAGATCTTGATATCGTCGGCAAACATTAGGAAGTTTGAGGCGTTTCCTTGTGCAAGGTCATTAATAAACACTAAAAACAAACCTGGACCTAGAACCGAGCCTTGCGGCACACCACACTCGACTTGTATGGGGTCCGATAAAGAGCTCCGAACTCTGATCTTTAATTGCCGTGGAAGTAGAAAGTTGGCGATCCAGCTTAAAATAGGGTCTCCGATCCCGTAATGCTGCAGCTTGGATAGTAGTATCCGATGGTCTAGACGGTCGAAAGCCTTGGAAAATCCAGGTAGATCACATCAACACCTTCTCCGCGTCAGCTGCCTCGGTCCAACTACTGCGTGCAATTGGTAAATTAGTTGTACATGACCGCTGTCGACGGAAACCGTTTTGTTCAGGAGTGTTGAGGTTGCAGTTTTCCAGATAGGAGAGCGGGCGACTGGCAAACTCCTCAGACCAGATGCAGAAGCTGCGTTTGAGCACTAAGAACATGCGCAGTCTTCGGTGTAGCCTGTTCGTGTTATCCACTTACTTCAGATCACACTGTGTGAGTACGCCTAGGTCGTTTACGGTAGGTGTGGGATGTAGCAGTTGATTGTCAAGGGTGAAGCTTCGGTCGTCACCACCCTTCCTTAGGCTCATAAATACCGACGTTGACCGGAAGACAGCCTTCTACAAACCACTTGGAAAGACGGTTGAGCACTTGCCGAAATAGCAGAGCACAGTAGATCATTATCCCTATTGTTATGCTTTCCGAACCCATGGGACGGTAAGGCAATGAACTGTCATGGAAGGGGATGAAGGCTGGATTCAACTTCGGATGAAATCCTGGCCAGTGTGCGCGACCATGATTCTAGCACTGCCCATAATTGGACATTTTTCGCCGCGCTCTCCATCGGTGGAATTCGTACCTGTTTCTGGACGTATTTGCTTGCGGGATTCGTTGCATAAACTTTGAATGAAAGTATTATATTGAA